CAACTAGATTCAACTGAACGCTTCTCAATAAGAAATGATAAAAGATGCGAAGCATCTTCTGTAAGATCTCGAGATTTGACTTTGAAATGTTGAATAGCGTTAGCGAGATCCATATCCAGAAAGGTCTCATTAAGATATTTGGCTTTTAACAATTGACGCTGTACAGTAATTGAAAGATTTCTGTTCTTTGTATAAAATTCAATATCACTAAGCACATCTTGCCCAATGGACCTAAATTTAGTACTATATTTACAATTCTTAGGGTGAAGTTCATGGTTGTGGGTATTAACGAATGTTGTGACTGTAATATAAGTAGATTGTTTAGGGAGATTCAAATTGATATGCTATTCACACCCCTGATGTTTTGACTGTCGGTTATGGTGGGTGTTAATGTCAACACTCTTTTTAGGTGTATATTTTCCTCTGAATTCGCACCCAAAAGATCAATGCCTAATTATACCATCATTACGCTGTTCAACCCTCTTTTTAATAATAGCAAATCCGTTATATTGTCCATAGGCTTTAAGAAACGAATCAACATCATCCTATGAATGAAATGTATAACCAACTTTTAGCAAAGAAAAATCATATGTTTCACTTGAAGATGTTCCTAAAAATTTATAACATTAAAATTAGTCTTAAAACAATAATTACCACATTACAGCATTACTAATACACCATATTACAGCATTACTAATACCTATACTTTTAATCTCTTCAGTAGTTGTATTGGCATAAGAGGTTCTGACATCATCATAAATCGCATTTTCATAAAGAGTGTTGGCTTTGGTGTTAGCCGAGTGTGAGGTATCAATTTGAGCAGTAGTCGTGTAAGAGTTGGTTATTTCAGCATTAACTACTTGGAAGTTACTAACTTCAGAATTAGTCACGTAAGTCTTAGCATTAGCTGCTTGATCAACTATAATTGCATAGGAGTAGGAGGTACTAGCCTCAGCACTAACAGTATAGGAGGCATTGGCTTCAATATTATCTGCTTGGTCAGCCATAATAGAGGTCACTCTTGATTATTCAAATTCGAATTTATTAACCTATAAATATACAACAGTACAGCAGTGTAGTTAAAAATGTTAAAAGAATGAAGAATGTTAACGTATCGCAAGATTAGTTAGTTTCTATCAGAAATGAAAAATAGAAGTAAAGAATTCACGAAGTGCTAAAAAAAATGATATAAGACAAGTGGGTTTTGTTAGAAGTTACTTTAAATAAAAAAAAAACTTTAGGAAGGTTACAAAACAAAAAAGCTATTATATTATTATAAAACTGTATAAAACTGCAAAACAATGATGCGTAGATAGATTGTACCAGTGATTTTCGAATTTTACATAACCTGTAATAAATAATTTATATAACAGGGTATAACACTAATATTTATTCTTATATTAAAATTAAAAATAAATTTTATTTTATTAATAATAATAAACATAAAAAAATAAAAAAACTATTTTTTTCGTTAAATTATAAAATCAATTATCCTCTAATTTGATAATTACATTAAGGGCTTTGTCAATACGTTTTTCTAATTCATATTGTTTAAGACTACTAGGTTTCATATAATTATGAATAGCGTATCTTTTTTGTTCAGAAATTAATGCATAAATTTTTTTTTTATTATAATAAACTTCATATTTTTTAGGGTGATTAAGTAGAAAATAACGAGTTCTTCGAAAGGATTTTTAATTCGGGTTGTTCCATTTTCATTTATTTCTATGATTTTAATACCTTCAGGAATATCACATTCTGTAATCAGATCATTATCAAGAAAATAAAGAATTGCTTGATTGTCATCTTCTTGTTCGACTTTAATCAAAAATGTAACATGATCAAATCCTTGAACATTTCTATTTTTCTCTTTGCAAATAAAACTTAAGACACCAGCATACGATATATTTCTAAAAAAAAAAATAATAAATATATTTTTTTTTATAAATATATATTTTTTTATTAATAAAAAAAATTAATTACATACTCATTTAAGAAAGAAAGAAAACGTTGAGAAAAATCTGAAGAATCTATTTTGCTTGAATTATTTATTTTATGCAGATTTATTTATATATAATAAAGTAAAATCGATGTTTATATAGTTTTTAAATGAGATTATATTTGATAATATGAGTCTTTATTTAATTTAATCATTTTTTTATTTATTTATAATGAGCTAAATCGTTTATTATAAAATAATAAAATATAAAAAAAAAATAATCATTTATTATAAAATAATAAAATATAAAAAAAAAAAATAAACTATTTTTCGCTATCAGAAACTTCTAAAGTTTCAATTTCTGTTTCTCCGCTACTATTATTATTTATATTATTATATTCAAGTAATTCAGTTTTAACTTTTTTCCAATCTTTAGTATGACACATCAAATGTGATTTTAATGTATGTAACCAAAAAAATGCTTTACCATCAATTTCAAAAATAAAATCATCCGCCCACGATATTATCCAGCTTTCATTATTATCAATTTTTTTTGCTTCTTTTAATAATTTTTTAGGACCCGAAAAAGTAAACCATTTAATATTTTTAGGTACATTTTCAATGGGATAATTATTATCATCAACAATATAAAATTGCATGAGATTAATATCATATTTTTTCATTTTTAACCCAATATTTGGATAATTTTTATTTACAAATTTAATATTTGGAGCTTCTTTTTGTTTGTAAGATAGAATTCCGTCACGTAAGGCCATAATTCTAATAAAAAAAATTTTTATTATTATATTAAATTTTAAAACGTACAATTACTAAAATACATACTTTTTATTTTGAAAAGGATATTTGCTCCTATTTTTTTTTATTTTTTGCACGCATTTTATATGTAATTTAATTTGAAAATTATTTCTATTTATAATTTATTTTATATGTAAAAATAAACTTAATTTTTTAAACGGTCAATAAAGTTTATTTATATTTTTTATTTATATGTTATGTAATATAAAAATAAAAAAACATTAATAAATTTTAATTATCGAATGTAAAGGGACAAGAATCAAGTTTTGCTAAAATTCTTTCACGATTAGAAAAGGAGGCTGAATGGAATTGTTTCTTTGAGTATCAGACATTGTCATCATGCGTTGGGATTGCATC